TAATTAAAAAAAAAAATCTGCCAGCCGATTCGGAAATATGTAAATTATATTTATTAATATTTTATATCTGAGATGTATTTGGCAGACATGGCCAGGTTGTTTTGAGCTCATCTGCTAGCTTTTGCTTTTTGTAAGCTCCTAATGTTTGCAACATTTAATTCTTTCTCTCCTTAGAACTCTGTTACATCACAACCATTACAAACTTCTCCTAAAGCATCCAAACTCTTTGTAGAGATTTGGCTTTGCTTAGACCTTTTAAAAGGTTAATTTTTATTTACCTACGTATTTTAAGCCATCTCCAGTTTTACTGTGTTGTTGGAAGCAATGCACTAATCTAATGAGATGATCTGTGTGAGCAGCTGGTCTTAACCTCTGTGACATTTCTTGTTTGGGATGTAAGCCTTAGCCGTCACTTTAGTACATGCTGTAGTTCCCCTCCGCCCCCCCAATCACCCCATCTTTGTTCCTATGACACATCTTTTTTCCTTCCTTTGGTCAGAGCTAGCAAGGAGGAATCATAACTCGACTGTCACACCATAGATTCTTAAACCATTCTTTGTGTCAAATGTTAATTTTTCTTGTCTTCTGACAGCTCTCTCTTGCAGCTGGGAGAGCGTGCATGGGGTTGAAGCCAAAACGGAAGAAACGCTCCTTCCCCCCTTGAGAACAGAAGTCTCTTTGGCATCACCAGCTCAAGGTCACTTGCAGTTCTGGTTCTCCAGCATTCATGTCCCTTTTCTCTGCCACTCCTGAGCTATTTGATAGCTTGGAAGTATTTTAAAGGTATCCTGGATATTTATTTCATTTCTGCTCTTAATGAAGTGGAAGCAGTTGCCTACACACTCCAGACCATGCTTATTTGTTGTTACTTGCAAAAAACAAGTGCATACAAACAGCAGACCAGTTACCATCAGAAAGTTTTTGTGTTCTATCCAGGCTGTGATGGAGTCTTGTGGCTGACCAGTTTATTTTGCCAGTGACAGTGCAGGCTGGCTGAACAGAGCTCTGCAGCGCATGGAAGTCCTGCAGGACTTGCTGGTATTCATTACCTATGTAACGCTTCAAGTTTTTCAGGTGTAATTTGAGGGGTATTGGAGATGAAGCAGCATGTATAGCGGTATGTAAGTGTAAAATGTCATTATAAGCCATAGTCCCTCACAAAGAAAAAGTGAATTTAATAGGCAATTCCACTTTTATAACAACTGCACTTTCTTATGGTGTCTAAGGATGGGTATACTGTGATCTGCAATATGAAGCCAGGCAATTTGGTTTTATTTAAAAAAAAAAAAAAAAAAAGAGGGAGGAGGATTCAGACTGTCAATGGAACCGATTGCTCTCCTCTGGCAGCTTGAGCAAGATGCAAATGTTAGGCGCTAAATCAATGTTCTGAATAAAAATTACCTTCTATTGTAATTCAGAGCAAAAGGAATAAAAGTTTTTTGCCAGTATTTGAACATATTATCATCCTGAGGACAAAACAATCAGTCAGATCCATTGGGACATTTTTTTTCTTTTGTGCTTTTACCGGCAGTTCAGAAAGAGGAGGAAGAAGAGGAGGAAGCGTAAGGAGAAAAGAAAAGCTGACCTTAATAACTTTGTGACAGACATTTGCAACTTCTCATTATGCATCAACTAAAGTCTCCTTCCCCTCTGTCCTTCATCCCACTGACAATTTTGGAGGTGCCTATGGGTGCACAGTGGGATTCAAGTAATGCTATAAGCTGAACAGCTGTATCTGAGTAGGAGGTGCCTTTGGATTTTTCTTGCCTGATTGTACCTCAGACAACACTAACAAGGAATATTTGCTGCAAGTAGCAAGAAGTCTCCATAATGGATTATCTCATGCTGTGCTGTGTGAGTAGGTATTAGAGGGCAAAACCTCTTCTGTACTGTTGGGATGCACAACACATGTTTCTGAGCCTGGAGAGGGAAGAGATGCTTTGTATCCCTCAAGTTTGTCTGGCAAGTCTCCTTGTGTAACTAATATAAACTTGGGGGTTTCCTTTTTGTTTTATAAAATTCCCTCTGTTTCGCACAGCATTTACCTCTTGGGTCTGTTGTCTGTGAGGAAGATCAGTAAATCAGGATCATATAAATTACAGTAATTAACTAAGCTAATGTTTTTGCTTAAAATGTTAAATAGCTATTAATAAGATTCAAGATTTCAAGACTCCCATTTGCTGAGAAAGAAATATGAAGGCCAGTTGTGCTTCTTTGCTGTATTTGCATTGTTTCACGACATTGCACGCCATGCCTGGAATAGCACACTGGTGGTGGCTATGTTGGTGGCTGTGCAGGTATGCAACGCAAGTGACTTTTTCTGGCTAGACTTCCTTATTGAAATATTTGTTGCGAGCTGTCTGACTTTAAATATAACAAGTCAAAGGCACTTTTGATTCTACAGTTTCCTTTATGTCCCTAAAAGGACAATGTTCATCTGGTACTCTTGATTCAGTAAAAACGATGGCTGTTTTGATTATTTGTCATCAAGCATGTTTATAGACTTGAAAGAATTAATTATGTAAAGGCATTTTGCTTGAAAATTCTGATTCTTTAAAGCCTATAGTGGGCTTGCACAGCTTTTATTGTCAATGTCCTTTATTTTAAATATAGAGCTTTGTTTTACTGCATTTGTATGCTTGATGGTGGGAATAAGATTATATGAACACTAATAGTAACCCTTTATTTCTCTTCTTCCTAAACCACATAGAAATTGTACTGAAAAAGTAGGACTACAGATGGTTTCATAGAATGACTTCTTTAATTGCCTTAACAATTAAGCTGGTGTTACTGGAACAAGTTCTTCCAAAGTTTATTTTTCCTTAAAGGAAACATATTTTTTGCAGTATTGTTAAATCAAACAATTTAGCAGTGAATGTTTAAGGAGTTCTACTGACTCTCTCTTCTGCTGGTCACTTCTATTGGTGTTAAAAACCTGACTTGAATTTCTACTGAAGAAAAAATTATCACCTCGTAAGCATCTAACACTTAACATTTATTTTAAAGTATGAATGGAAAGCAGGTGGCTCCAGAGTTCAGTTTGTTGATTACAACAACAACAACAAAAAAGATTCCTATATCCTGTACAATTGAATTCCCATTTGTTCTGTAACCATTCACTCCAGCTATTGCCCTTAAAGTTCTTTTGTCTCCTTTTAGCTTCTTTCAATGTAGCTAAAATGTATTTTTATTTGCACCAGCTAGAACTGGATATAATCCTGACAACTGTTATGCTCTGAAACTTGTGCAGCTCAGGTATTAGTTCTCTTCTGCTCCTAAATATCTTCTGATAAATCTGTATGTTCACAGATCTGTGACCTGTGAGATGATAGGTGATATAAGGAAGGGGAAATTTTCCACTATACGCTGATGGGGTATCATACAACTTAGGCCATATTATTCCAGGCCACTGTGAAAATACTAGTGATCTTAAAATATTTTCTGATCAGGACTAGCTAATTGTCATGAAATGGAAAGTCCCATCAACTTTTATAGGCCAAATTTTCTTCCGAAGTTATTCCTTGGTGTTCAAACTCTCCCATGAATGTGATGAAAAGTCAGAGTCTTCTAGCTTTTTTGGTGTCTTTTGTAAAACTGGTTAGTGGCCTCTAAATATCAGAAGACCACCAAGTCAACTATAATTGTTTAGTGGTCTTGGCAGGCATATCAAAATGTAGTTTTTTTCATCATAAAGATAAATATACTTTCCTCTCTTACAGAAGTAGGAGAACAACTTATCTTCTTGAGAGGGTATGCTAATACTGCTACTACTGACTCTCCTGCTTGTAAGGGGAGTATTTTTATTCCTACAACTTCCCATCTCGTACAATGAGTTTACTTCAAGAATTACATTTTCCCCCCCTTATACTCCTTTGAAAAAGTATGAGAGGAAGGGATTGGAAGCAAAGGGTTGCTCAGTACCCTAAAGCCCAGGGCTTTGGTAGGCTTTGATTGCCCTGTCACACCAGGACGCTGACTGCAGTGGGAATTCCCCACTTCTTTCTGCCCCCTGTTCTATGTAAGTGCAACAGTGAAAAGGGGCATGGGGGATCCAGGCTCCACTGTGGGCTACTGCCACAAATGTTGTGTTTGGCACTGGACAAACTGCTTAACCTCTCGATACCTCTCTTCATAGTGCTCAGAGCTGTGGCAGTGGGGGCTATGCAAGTTCAGAGCGGTTATTTCTCTGCTCTCTAGTGAACACAACTTTTATATTACACATGCTAACGTACTTAAGAGTGAAATGAAGTCAGTAAGTTCTTTATATAGGCTTTATGATTTAATAGTCTTGTTGCTAACAGTTGGACTAGTTCTGCTGTGCCCGCATGAAGATTTTTTTTTTTACTCTCTTCACTTTCATAGCCTGCAAGAAAGATTTAATTTTAGAAGTTTCAGTTGACAAAGACATGCTGGTGCTAGATATGCATTTCAGATCCTTGTCATTGTACTCTATTTTTAAATTCAAGTGCCAGCCAACCTAAAGAGCACAGCCTGTGTCTATGCTGGGTGCTCTACATCTGTGCTACAAAGCTGAGCTCTTCCAAGCCTTAGCACAAGGCCACCAAAATTTACTTCTATGGTTTTCCTATATAATGAAAAGAAATGTTCTGACAAGAGCTAAATATAGCACAGAGCTAAAACTGATTGTGAAAACCATGCCTCTGCCTGTAGAGGTTTGCTCAGGCATTGTCAATTGTTAAGATGCTTGCCTATCAACAGCCACTCGAGAAAGAATTTTAAATGGTTTTGTGACGTCCAGGAGGCCCAAGAAAATATAGTCTGGTGCCAAACTAACTCCATAATTGAAAGCACACAGTAGATAACACAAAAATAAGTCTTTTATGCAGTAGCTATCTAATGACATGCTCTAGCATCTCCAATAAGTGAGGCTGTCTGGTACAGGGGTAGCTAAAGAAGATGAATTTTCAGAGACTCATTCTCTAATTTATGATTAATGAGAAGCCAGCTTAATCTCTCCATTATCCTGCTCTCTGGACAGAATGTCTGCGGGTAATTTGGACCTTGCAGAGGGAAATGCCCTGACTAAGTTGCAGCCTACAAAAGTGAACAACTTAAGCATGATGGACAAAAAACTGAATCTCTTGAATGAAAAGGTGGACAAATTGTTGCATTTCCAGGAAGACCTGACAGGCAAACTGCAACGAGTTAACAAAGGCATTGATGATATAGAAAAAGGCATTAACAAGCTAACAGTATCCCGAGCAGCTCCTGATGAGACCGATGCAATGAAAAAAGTCCTAAAACTATCGGACAGTACACACCAGACTGATATCCAGAGCATATGCTCAGAAGTATTGAAATTGATGAAAATTGTCCAGCTAGATGCCTCGAAGCATAAGGAAAGGCTGGCAAAGATAGAGAAAAGGGTTGATACGCTGGATAAGGTTATTACGTTCATGGGAGAAATATTAAAAAATTCGAAAGTAGTGGATTTTATTCTCAGAGGCATTGTCCCCTGGAAGAAGGGGAGTCTGCTGGAAATCCTTGTGGAGGTTGGTTTTGATTTACTATTCTTGATATTTTCTTTGTGAAGTAGCAAGGCTTTTGGGTTCTCCTGCTGATTTATCACATAACATCTATAATTCAGGCTTTCAATTCAGTGCAGCTTACTGCTGCAACCTTTGAATTGTAAACCTTTTGAAGCAGAGATCAAGGTTCAGAAAGTGCCTGGCAGGTTTATGTCTGATGTGCCTAAAGTGGGTCAGGCAATCCTCTAGTAAGTGTGAGGAGTAGATTGCTACTGTAAAAGAAAATTCAGCTTCCACAGTGACATTCAGATTAGTGACTGAACTGAGGCCCCCGTGAAAAGAAGTAGGAGTAGCATACTGGGAAGCATTTGTTGAAGGAAGAGGGTTTCTATTTTCTTGAGGGTTTGTGTTGTCTGAACGCAAGTTACTAGAACTTATGCTGACTTATGTTCCTATAACCAAGCTGATTTATATGTCCTTAGCCATCTAAGTTGTCCTCAGCTAGTTTATGAACACTATTGATACGGTCCACACCTCAAATCAAATAGCTGCTGTGTTTGCAAGTGCAATTTGCATCAGTTTCTAGCCATTTCTTAATTATTAAGGACGGTGATAGGGAGAACAGGCAAGACCAGTGTGTGGTTGGTACAGTGTTTCAGAATTGATTGATGTTGTTTTTAAAAGCTGTATGCATTTGGAATTCATTTTGGCCATTGGGAGCTTTGAGTCTTCACAATGGCTTTTATCCCACTGTGAGAAAGAAGAGGAGGAACTGTGTGAGTTGGAATATAGGGGATGTTTGTTCGTTCCAAGGATCTCTTTGTATGCAGAGCTGTGATTACAGCAAAAAGAACTTAGTTCAAATGCCCGTTCGTCCATAAGCCCATTCCTATTTTACTCTGGGTATTTTTCCTACGAAATCAGTAAAACGTAAGGGTGGAAAGTGCTCTTCTGATCTCTCTTCTTGAATGTCAGAGGCTGAAACTGGGCAGGCCTTTAAGGACAGAGTTTATAAAGAATTTCCGTTAGAGTTGAGACCATAACGTGATGCATCAGACATCAACCTTACCTCCAGATGGAGATGATGTTTGTACTCGAAAACTGTTCCATTTTCAGTCTTACAGCTTTTTGGAGAAATGAAAAAACTTTTCAAAAGGTTAATATGTGTTGGTTAAAGCTGCGCTGTTACAGGTTACTGCCTGCTGTCGCTGTCTAATGCCTGGAGACAGATACAGTTCTTTTCTTTGTGGAGTTACATCCTGATTTGAACTGACAATACATAGTATGTTAAACAGCCACGAGAAGAGGAATATTAGATGGCCTAATTTCTTGGCCAGGTTATCAATTTCCAAGTGAAAAGAACAATAAGGAGGAATGCAGATGAAGAGAGGTGTTGAGAGGAGTGCTGGAGGAATGGCTCGCCGTGAACGCCAACGCGAGTGGTCAGCACGAGTGACAACCTAGCTGCTATGTGCTGCCTCCTCACTAGGGCTTGTGAAGGAGGAGAGGAGATCTGCAGAGGTCTGAACCTCATCCCAGTTTTACGGGTGGGGAAATTGAGACTAAGCGGAGAGGTGACCCCACTGATGATCACCTAGGGTGATCGCCTGGGGTGAAGGGTAGGTCTCTGCCCAGGCTCTAGGCACTGCCTCAGCTGTAAGACAGGCGATGCATGTTGGACAAGTGGGTAGTTTTATGGCTAACTCCAGTTTTGTTAAGTGACAATCACCATCCTCCCCTTTTGTTTCTGTTCGTGAGCAGGTTTTGAAATTGGAGCATAAGTAGTTGTGAGATCTCAAGATATATCTGTACTTTGATCACAGAATGGCTGTTGACTAGCAAATGGTATTTGAACTAGGTTTAAAAGAGTGAGGTGGTATATGTACGTGATCGAGCTGGGATAACGTGGAGCAAAGAGTGGGTGAATACAAAAACAAATGAGCTTGGGCGGAGCTATGTGCTAGCTTGTGTGTTTCAGTTTTGCAGTCGCTTGTATGACAGCAGTGTAGACCTGTCCAAAGAGGTCCACAGTTGCACTGGGGTTGCACACAAAGAGAATTTGCTACTTGATTGTTTCTATTTTCCAACCTTTGTTGTTTTGTAACAGTGTTGCTGCTTATCGCAGAGCTGGCTTTGCACAAGGTTACTAAGTATGGGGATGGGAGTCAGGAGGTCATGTTTTGATTTTTGGGTGAAGCTGTTTGCTGAGGGTATGACAGCATTCCAGGGATGCCATGGGAATGCTTATGGGAGCAGTTTTGCTGGGTAGGCTTCAAATTAATAAAAGATTATGAATTGAGCTTCACAGAAGCCAAACCTCTAGCCCTTTATTTTCAAAAAACCCTAGCATTACACTGTCAAACTTTCTCAGAGCTTTCTTTGCGCCCAGGATTTTACAAGAATAATGTTCCCTCTGGTCATTGTTGCAGATTTGCTTAGAGCTGTAATAAAAATGGTAATGATATTTTACTATCTTTAATATTTAGATTTTTTTATTTAGTGGGGAAGAGGAGATTTTCTATTGTATCTTCAGTAAAGATTGGACCATGAAAAAGTTGCTTCCTTAACTCTTTTTGCTAACAGCTGAAGGGGCTGATTTGCAACAGAATTGTAATCAGTTATGTGCAGAAAGATTGAAAATGTTGCTTATTTGCTAATATAAATAAGGGTAGGAGCCTATCACTATAAAATCATTAGACTTTATTTTTAACTGTAATTGAAGGCAAGAAATATAATGTTATGCCTTTTCCTATTTTTGTGTATTTTCTTCCTAAATATTAGTTATTTTATTTTGATTGCAAATGTATTGATATGGAAAGTGCTTGGTAGTGCTGTTTCACAAGTATTCCTCCTCTGTGTTTTGTTAATTGGTGGAAGAAATGTGTTTAAAAATGTTCTGTCAAAAGCCAATAAGTCTATTTTTAACTATGCCAAAACCAACATTGATGAAGGTACGTACATAAGAGCTACCATAAAGCTAGGGGTTCTTTGTCTGTATTGCCTCTATCATAGCTCAAGTCACGAATATTCTTAGAGGCTATGAGACAAATTTTTATAATAGCTATATAAACACTACTTGTCTTTCAGTGACTAGCCAGAAGGGACAGAATTGAAATATTATTTTCTTTTCTAATATATCTATTATGTTCCACATCCCAGGGTTTTAATGTATATGAGTAAGAGTGACACCGGGCAGTCTCGGACAGGTAACATTTTGGAAAGCAGTGAGCTAATGTATTATTCTGTGTCTCCTTGTTTTACAAGGATGCCTTTTAACAAAAGGGGAGAGGTGCTAGAAAAGGGGAGGGAAAGCAACAGTTAACTAAAAATGCAGGTTGGAGGTTTATACGATCTAAATACCTACACAGTTAGAGGAACCTAGTGGGAAATAAACAACTTTGGCCATAACTGTTACTTTTATATTCCGTTTCCATTTTTAGGCCAAAGATAAACCTGAGGAGAGTGGTGCAAAACCTAAGCATGTGCTTAGTAATAGAGGAACCCAAACTGAAAGCAAGAAGCCTGTGGAAGGTATGTATAACTCCAGGCATGCTGTAAGCTTTAACTCCAGAATGTGCAGCAGACAGACTGGTAACTGCATCCACCAGTACTGGAAAAATACAGAGATGTTCTCCCCTCCTCCACAAGAATATCTGTCCCTAGATTGAACCCCACAAAAACCTAGAAGCTCATCAAACTGAATGTATCACCTTTTATTTGGCTACACTGTTCTTTTGCTATGGGATTGCAAAGAGATTAATTAAGAGCAGTACCTATTCTGAGATACCATGAAGGTAGCAGCAATGTCTCCTAGTAAACCTATAAAATTCTTCTTCCTTTAATACAGCTGAACCAGCGCTCCTCCCCTCTCCCCCTTGGAAATGAGGACACGCTGACGCTGGAATATCTTTTTTTTTGATCAGCAGCTTTCATGGCCATGTCAGAGCTTAGTGAAGAGATTCCTATTCAGGATGCCTCTGTCAGGGCACTACCCTGTTGTATCCATTACGACACCTGTGGAGTTGCAACAAGGGTGAATGTGATGTTGAACAGGCTCTGTCATACAGTCTGCTTCACAAATTGCCAGTGGATCCCTTAAATTATGGAAGAGCCCCTTTTTTGTTTCTTCATTTAGGAAGTGACAAAAATAAAACAGCCATTGGGTCACAGATCTGACTCAAAAGCTACACAGGATTGTAAAGTAATCTCGATAACAAATACTCTGTGCATACTGAACCCTGAAGGAAGTTATCCTATCAATTTCCATGGTCAATATTCCCAGCCATTGTCATGAGAAGGTGCTGAAGGACCTTCTTGTCCTTTTGTAGAAAATGCAAAGGGCATTGTCTTGAGCCCCTTAGGGTCTTGATCCTTGTGTCCCTGCTGCTCAGGTCAGGAAGAGGGGTAGCAGGTCCTGGCTGGGACTTCAGTATCTGACCTACCTGCTACATTTACCCACAAAGTAACTTCAAATTTGAAAGGCAGTGAGCTGAGCCTTACAATTTTTTGTTTGTTTGCTTTCTGGAAATCCGGTTTATAACACTACTGGAAAGTCAGCAGAGCAGTTAAATCTGTGATTAAGCCATGAGCATTAATATAGGCTGTCTCAAGCCTGGTGGTGAAGGTTTCATACCTTTCAGGGGGTTTCTTCTGAGCTTTCCAGATGCTGTAACTGCATAAGTTATTTTGAATGACAGGCTACTTTACTCTTTCTCTATTTCTCTGTGACTTTTGTCAAGGCTCATTCCCTATTAATGGCTTGTCTTATTCAGAGACTAAAAGTGGGAAAAAACTGGATGAAAACAATGGAGCAGGTGAGAAGGTGAACACTTCTAGTGCTACGGCTCCCAAAGCTGACCCTAAACCCCAACTTAAAGAGAGAACAGCACAGCTGCAAGCAGTAGAAGGCACTGGCAAAACACAGAGCTCTAAGATTTGTCAACAGCAAAAGGACGTTGATGTCAAAGCTTTGAATCAACACAATGGCCTTCCTTTCGTGAATCAAGATCGCGCAGGGAACCAAAATGCTCCTGCTAAAGCAAATGATATAGATAGAGTCCCACATCTAGAAGAGCACCACAGGCAGCTTTTTCCTCAGAAACTCAGAGAGAACGTAACCAAACCTTCGCGGCTGAGCGCAGCCTCCCGGGAAGCTGTGCCCTCCACGTCCCGGGCTGTATCTGACACAGGGTGCGAAGTGACACGTACCAGGTAATGTCCTTGTTAGTGATTTTTTGTGTGATCTGAAAAATTTCCTGTGTTAAAAGGG